CCAGTTGCTGATCGCGGACTGGATCCAGTCCGCGTAATGGGACGCCTTCGTGTAGCGAAGCGCGCTTTTGCATAGCTTGGTGGATGTCGCGGCCCAGTGAGCCATCCCCGCCACGAATGCTCGGCCGTTGTATCGCACCACCAGGGGTCCACCGCTGTCTCCCTGTGTAGCGAAGACGAGGATTCATGAGTACAATTTTCATGCACCAATGGATATCTGCAGAGATGTCTCACACATTCGAAAAAATATTCTACGCTATTTTCTGATGAAGAGTTCCTAGTGAGTCCTGTGCCTAGTTTTCTCGTGAAAATGGAAGCACGACCTTTTCCTTCTGATGACCTTGACCAAGGATATCTGCAAGTTCATGATGATATTTTTTTGTTGCGAGTGGCCAGGAAAGTTCCAGGAAAGTCTCACTTCATTGTCTCCTCGTGAATTTTCACGGGAAAAGGTCATCGAGACAGAAACATACCCGAATTCCCAAATCGCATGATAGGAATCCCGGAATTTCAAAAATATGTCATTTGAGGGAAAAGGGCCTTTAAATGTGAAACCTGGTCTCAACGGCCCATCAAGGTCGGGTTTGACTTCGCCAATATATCGAAATTTCAGATTGATATCTCCTTCGCTCAATTTCATCAAGGCACATGCAAAACGAACACACGGAAATTGCGCATTTGAATCCATTTCATGTTGGTCCCAGGTTGCATGATTGTCGGGGAAATAAGGCCAGCAATTAGGGGGAATATGGTCACATCTCAAGAAATAGCCATACAGTTTTTAAGGCAAGTGGGTAATGTGCTTGAATACGGTGAGTACCTAACAACATTAGAAGCGAGGCTAAGCAGTCGAAAAAATACATTAATTGCATCGAGGGCAAGCAAAGAATCGACATCATTGTCTGCTGGCAGGAACTTCATTTCCTGCAACGCTTTTGCCTGAGTGGCATTGCACCTGATTGGGATGATTGGGATGATGGATCGAGAGGATGTGGATGAGAAAGGGCTGGATCCCCTATAGATCGAAGGAACACGCGCTACGAGTGTGAACTGAGGCCCTATAGTACTGGGAAAACGTTGCATCGTTTTTTGCATGCATACATCAATAATAAATGAGGATAAATCACACGAAGCAGATGAGCTAATGATGATTTCTTGCTGTCCAGAGAAATGAAACAATGCCTGAGGCGATTGCGGCGCTTCCATGAAATCCAGGATCTGTTTCATCCTGCGTCCGGCCGTGAGGTTTTACCCAGTCCCTTATCCCATTAGTAGAGAAGGTGAGATGTGAAAATGGATATGAGGACTAAAGGAAGAACGTCTTTTCCTTTTTTCACGGGACTTGATATGTGATTTGCCAGATGAAAAATAGGTAGAGAGAGAAACTTTCTCAAAGCGAGAATTGTTACCATAAACTAAATCCCGATTGGTTATTGTCCCATTGCATACATGACAGTTGATTGCAACTAAAGTTAATAGCGAATTTTTTTTCCCCCGAGAGATACAAATTATTAAAATAACGCAAGTAAGCATTGCCAGAAAGGGAACGTACGACGCAGGCATAAGTGGACGGAGTGGTTGCAAAGCCGCAGAATTCGCTGCCATCATTAGCGAAGCAATCCTTGAAGGCTCGGTCAGACGTCCGCATGATCATTTTCTGCAAGAACGTGGCAGGGTTGTGATTCTTGAAGTCCTTGAAGGACAGGGCCCCCCACCCGTAAGCCATCTGGTCGCACCCGGCCACGGCATCCCCGACCTCGCCCGCCGTGGGGTAGCAGATCGGCTGGACGGTCGGGCCGAACGTCAGGCTCGTCGGCAGGCGGATCAGGGCGATGTCGTTCCCTTTCGTCACTTTCTATGCAGGGATAATAATCTCGTGAGGCTGATGGCATGCGTCGGTAAAACCATACTTTCTCTGAGTGTGACAGTGTTTCATGACAACTTTGTCCCTCGCGACAATTTTCCTTTTCGAATTTTTCCTCCGCCGAGGTCAACTAGGCCAATTATTAATATTTTTAAATCCTCATATATCATACAGTGGCACTTGCCATGAAGCACTTTGGACTCGAAAGACTTTGTGTCCACGTAGACATTTGAAAATCTTTTCATGTCGATTACAGTCATGGTGGAACCACAAAAGAAAAGCTTTCAAGGGATTGGCCGGAAGTTATGAAGATCTTCACAATCTGCTTTCCCATTTACTAGGGATGGGATCCGGGGTCTCACATTCCCCCTAAATCCTTCCAGTGGGAACGAAAAGGCATTGGAAAAATGTGGTGGCGAGGAGGTTGTCTCCACTATGTGAGTCCCGGATTGAGAAATCTCACGTGAGGAAAACCGGAGCGGCCGCGTCGAAATCTCTCAAGTTAAGATAGAGAAAACTTTTGCTGTACGGGTTCGCGACCTCTCCTATGGGCTAAAGCCTTCATTATTAGCATTCGGTGAAACAAAACTTCGGAAATCGAGCTCAGTTAAGACTGAAGGATTTCTTGTCGAGTGTCATTCGACAGGGCTATGAGTCAGCAGCGTATTTTGGCACCAAGCTCTGTCCCAGGGGCAACAGTGGAAGGGGGGGGGAAGGTGAGGGGGGGGAAGGTGAGGGGGAGGAAGGTGAGGGGGGGGGGAAGGTGAGGGGGGGAAGGTAGAAGGGGGAAGGGGGGGAGCGGTCGCCCCCTGCCCCCCGTAAAATACGTACTGCTATAAGTGAAACAGTTTTATCTTTATTTCTCTTTGAACTATAGACGTGAAACCTTCATAAGTTTCGTTACTGTCACCGACGATAAAAGGTCGTCCTTTTCTAGAAAGATCAAGGTCAAGGGTCAAGGTCTGATAGGCTTGCACATGATTTCAGGAATGTAATCTCATTTCAATAGGCTTTGGTAGCGCCTATTACCTTCTTTTCACCCCTTCCAGCCACAAAAATTCAAGCTCCTCGTATTCCTGAGAGCATCAACAGCAACACCGTATTGAGCACCGTAATGATCATTTCACAGATCCGATGGTGACGATCGCCATGAAAAGGGGGTGAGCCTTCGTTTCGCCATGTCTCCATGATAGGGATGTCATGCAAATACGAAAGTCTCATACAGTGAGGGACAAAACTGTTGCAATGTTCGACACATTGTCAGTTTATGACTCATATTTCGAATAAGACGTGTTCAATTTAGCTAAAATTTCAATCATACTCCTACTTCCTGGCTTTCGATTGGC